GCCTCTCTCTGTCCCTCCCCACCCCCCCACACCCCAGCATGACTCCCCGCCTGGAGATGCCCCTCCAGCCCGCTAGGTTCTTAGCCTTGTGGGCGTCTAAAACACGTGGGCTGTCCGGCTGGAGAAGGCGCAGCGCCCAAGTGCAAGTGCACGGGTGTGGGGGTGAGCAGGCGGGGCGGGGCTCTAAACCCCGAGACAGGACGGTAATGAGGTGGGGGTGAGCAGGCGGGGCAGGGCTCTAAACCCCGAGACAGGACAGTAATGAGGAAGGCCCGATGGGAATCTGAGGAAGTCCAGGTGGGGCCTGGGAGGGAAATAAACCGCTTGCATCCTGCCCCCTTTCCCTCGGAAAAGCAGATTTAGGTCTCCAGGGAAAATGAGAGCGGGAGGGTGCCCACTAGTGCCCAGAAAAGAGGCTTCGGAGATCTGAGATCTTCAAGGGAAGAGGAGGACCACTTACCTGACTCTCAGTCTGAAGAAAAGAAAATAAATCTAAACCTGGTAGGAAAAAAAAAATTAATATCAACCTCCAGTCTGACCCCTTCACTGCCAGAAAAACCCAAAGAAGCTCCTTGGACTGTGGCCCTTTGCAAAGACAACCGGAAAGCTCTGAAAAGGAGCAGGGGTTCTGACCTGGTTCTGGGGAGGACGTGGCAGTATAGCCCCACCTTGTGATCAGTGTCCTACCTTGGATGTCGGCCCCCAGTGGGAAGGCGGGTGGGTACTCGGGTAGTGGGAGACTGGACAGGAAATCCCCGCCCAGTGTGCCCATAGCTGGGCTCCGTAGCACCGAGGATGGCTGGTGACTGGATGTCAGTACCCTGTGAGGGAAGGAAGGAGCTGGTAGCCAGCGAACCGCACATGCCCTCACCCAGCTCAGCCTCCCAGGTGTCCTCTCTGCCCCAGGCTTTGCCCAGTGACCAGAATGCTTTCCTGACTTCCTCCTCTGTCCCTTCCGCTACAGACTCAGCCTATTTCCTCATACCCTTTGCTTCCAGGTAGGGCCGGGATGGCAGCTGAGGTGACAGGACAGTGCTTCTTGCTTGGGGGCAGGTCCTCCTCGTCTGATGAGCTTTCTATTGTCAAGTCAATAACTTCAACCTTCTTTTTATTCTCTGAAGGATTGCCCTCTTGGACTGGGCTATACTGGAGGCCTATGGGTGGTAAGAAGACTGTGTCTCAGAGAAGAGGCCATCTAAGACTTAGCTCAGCTGGGGGACAAGGGGTCACTCACCATCCAGCCCATACCCTGGCGGGGGGCAAACCTCAGATGCCTCCTTCTTGGGTTTCATTGGGCACCAGGATCCATCTTCCATGAACTGGATCTCATCACAATCCGAGCAGGAATTAAGAATCTCCATGAATAACCTGGGGGAGGGGAGAAAAGGGACTTCATGGGGCTGAGAGAGGGCCGGGACAGTGGCTGAGGATTCTGCAACCCACCTTCCTGAACCTCAGTTTCCTCATCTGTAAAGTAGGGCTTATCCACCCTGTTGACCTGAGTTGTTAGAATCAAATATAGTATATAAAAGAGCTTTGCAAACTTCAAATGCTACATTTTAAACTAAATACATTCTAAACACCTACTTCATGTAGCGCTAGGGCCAAGACGAAAGGAGCAGAGACTGGAAGGGGATGAGAAGCAGCTGGAGCAGCACATTGGCCCTCAAAAGAACTTCCCTGCTGTGCTCGGTGGGAGGTCAGGTAGTTGTTACAGGTGATGTGTTACAACAGTTCCACAGATAGGTTACAAGCCAATGTATCTATACGTTACAACACTTCGATACATTGGCTCTGCCGCTTACTAACAGAACTTTGAGCAAAATACTCAATCTCTCCAGACCTCAGTTTCCTCACCTGTAATGACAGTACCTAGATCACAGGGTTACTATGAGGATTCAATGTAAGGCAGGCAAAGAGCTCAGCACTGTGTTTAGTGTATAGTAAGTCCTCAGTGTTGGAGATATATAATAAAAGGGGCAGACTGTGGGGGGTGGGAGAGGCGGGCGCGGGGTTCCTAGTGGCTGTCCCAGGTAGGAGGAAGCAGAATGCAGACTGGCCCTACCCATCAATGATAAGAGAGTCATAGGGAGCCTTCTTGTCGCACACAGGACATGTCCATGTCGGCTTCTTCTCATTCATCTGTAGATACAGAGCAGCATCGAAGCTCTGCAGGTGGGCGCAGGTGAGGGCGCGACAAGGGACAGTCAGGCGCATCTTCCCTAGCTGAGGAGAGAGGAGTTCTCTGGTCAGAGTCCCCGTACCCCCAGAAAGCCTCACTCTAGCAGCCCAAGGAACCCTCCTCTGAGTCCAGACGCTTAACGCACCCTCCACCCCATCTCTGCTCCTTTGTACCCACCGGGCACATGAGTGACACCCGGAGACTTGTAGTGGCCACCTCACTGTCCGGGTCAGCGGTCAATTTCTCCTTGACTGAAACAAGAGTGAGGCCAGAGCCACGGGGTTAGCAAGGCTAGAGGGCCAGCTGGGATGTCACGTGGGGTGGTCTGGGACCTGGGTGATGAAGGCGGGGCTGGGGAGGGAGATTTCCCCATCCCTGGGTGGTACTATGGCAGAAATGACCTAGAGGGAATTATAGCATCACGAGAGAGTTACACTGGATGGTCCTTAAGACTGTCCAGTCTAGAGAATGCAGACTCCAGTGGGGACGGAGTGGGGGTCCGGGAGGTGCAAAGCAGATATATGACTGGGAATGCGAGGGTGTCACTCAGTGCCTGGGATGGTCTGACCTCTCAACCGCGAAGACTGGTTAGGGGGTCGGGGAGGGCTGGGGTCAATGTGACAGATGAGGTCGACTGTCGTAAGAGAGGTGTGGGCTTGATTATAAAGGCTGGAGGGCCAGGAGGACTTGGATCCAGATCAGAGCGGGGAAGCAGGGCAGGATGTTACTCACTCAGCGCCCGGGAGTGGTCGGGGTTCCGGATGCCCTTTGCTCTGAGTTTCTGTAGAAGGGTCCCTGCGGTCAACTGCCTCACCAGGTACACGGACAAGGAGTAATTCTACTTGGAGGCAGGGCGGGGGTGGGGGATGGGGAGAGACGATTAGCCTCTGCTTTGCCCACCAACCGACCCCCCCACACACACTTTGTCACATAAAGACCAGAGACAGCAAGTTAAGGCAAAGAGACCATAAAAAGGAAGACGTTTCCCGAACCCAGGACACCGGGCAGTACCCCTCAACCCCGCAGGCTCCTCCAGCCCCCCGCTCCCCCACCTCAGCCGTACTCACCCGTCCAAACTCAGAAGACCAGTTGACCACAATGGTGTTGGGAACCGTGGCCGAGAGTCGAGCCAGGGGTGTGATGTTGATGGGGCGGCTGGGCCTCTTGGGCTCCGCTCCGTTCTTGGTGGGGGGAAGGTAGCCCTGCGGAAGGGAGGGACTGGTCAAGACATCTTGTCTCGGGCTAGTCAGTCCCCGGAGAGAAGGCTAAGCTCACGCACCGACCAAGGAGAGGGGGCCCATGCCGTGATTCACAGAACTGGGGCACTATCCAAGGGCTGTGTGTGAGATTCACTCCTGGGCGGGGAAGGAGACCTTAGTCACTGACCGAGGAAACCGGAACCCGCTCACTGAGTTCCGGAGGAGGAAGAACAGAACAGGGACGCCCCATACTGTCCAGCTCTCGCTTCTGGGGTCATCACTCCTGAGAAGTCTTCCCTGAACCTTTGGGTTGAACGAAAGTCCCTCCTCTGGGTTCTGACAGAACCCTTGTTCGGCACTATCTTAGAACTCTCTAGAGTACAGTGATTCGATCAGCAAACTGAGCACCTACTGTGTGCCAAGCATGTCTCTTTCATGATAGGTTTGTAGTGAACGTTCAGGAACTGAAACAGGGAAGGGGTCACTGCAGAAGAGAAGAGCATTTACCGGCAGGGGGCACAGTTTCCCATTGACCTTGACAAAGAGGTTGGGGGGGAAATAATCCTCTTGGGGGCAGCTGGTCTCACAGAGACAGAACCTGGGAAGAGACGAGAGCGCATGAAAGGGCGCGAGGCAGTTCCTTGAGCTGCATCTGGCAGAGAGGCAGGAAACCTCAGAAAATTAGTCATGGGTATATGTAGGCCTCAGCATCCGACGAGAGACCCAGGGCTGGGTGGAGATGGCAGAGCGGGGCCATCTCCCAAGAGTATCTGGCATACCCCGTATTTCATTCCCACCCCCAATGGGAGCCTGACGGGGAGGGAGGGTCGACTCACCTTAGCTGCACCTGTATGGTATAATCGCATTTGGCTCCTGGCAGAACCTCTCTGTAACAGGGAGGGGGAGACAGAGGCGTGAGAAAGTGGCCCCTGGAGGGCAGCGGTGAACAGAGGCACAGAAGTTAGATGTCCAGGGGTCAGCGAAGAGACATACGAGAGAATGAGAGACGACACAGGTGCAAGAGGACGGATAGGGAGGAGAGCAAGACAGAAGAGAAGAAAGCCAGAGAGTGAGGCCAGGGGTGATGACCCCCGGATGGCACAAAAGGCCTGAAGACACGTACCTGGATGTGAGAATCTGCTGCACTTGCTGAGGGGTGAGGGCAAAGGTAAAGTGCGCTTCCTCAAACCGCTGGCTGGAGGTGGATGCTGAGGACAGAAAGGGGCAGTTACTCCCAAGCCCACACAAAGGCAGCCACAGAAGATGCCCCCATCCCAGGCTGCTGATCCCGCAGGACTAAGGCCTAGGAAGGGCTTGGAGGCGTGCAGTCCGGGAGACTGAGGGACCACAGAGAGCCGTACCGAGGGTGGTGGGCCGGATGAGCTCCCCGTAGACTTCATAGAAAGGCAATGGTTTCATGGTGACATCGGGGTGCACAGGCTGGGGCAGAGGGGGGTGCATGTCCACTTCACGCTTAGGGCCCAGCAGGGTGCCAGGGGCCAAGAGGGCCGGGGGGATGGGAGCCAGAGGGCCAGGGGAGCCTACAGGAGGGGTGCCAGGGGGCAGCGAGAGCAGGGAGAGGTCCGAGGGCCCCAGGCTCTTCCGGGGGAAGCGTCGGCGGTAAAGCTCCTTGATCTTCATCTGGACGCTGGGGGCACAGCTGGACTTGAGAAGGTGCAGGGCCTTGGCCAGGAGCTCGTGCTTCCGTCCACTCTTGTTCCGGCCAGCAAAGCCGAGGAGCACCTGGAGCTCAGACACCCGGAAACTCATCACCATGTGCTGTGGAGAACAGAGAAGCTTGAGAATCCTACCTTACACAGGCCTGTCCTACCAAGGACGCTGGGGCTGAGCCCCCAGATGGGCAATGCCACCTTCCCACCAGCACTGATCAGAAAGATGCTTTGCAGCCAGTGGATTACTGCCAGACAGTCAGCCTGGCCAAAGGGACATCTCAGTCCCATTTTAGCAACCCTCAAGTCAACCTCACCACTATCCCCAGGGTTTGAACGACCCTACCTCTCTGTGCCTGGAAGTCGACCTGGCTGGGGCAGAGGGCAGGGTGCAGACAGCCAGCCACGCTCAGGCAACCTGAGTCACCACAGCCTCCCACCTCCATCCCTGCCTGGGGCCTGGACTTGCCTTTAAGTTGCTTCTCATATCCCCTGATATTTCTCAGGCCCTCAGACCCATCTCAGACCCATCCCAGGCCCCTGGGAAGAGGTTTCAGGCCAGACAACCCCACAGGGAAGACAGGGGCCAGGTGGATGGAGGCCCACCCTTCCCCACGGCCCACCCCCCCCAACACCTCAATTCACCTCGGCCATTTTCTCCAAGCCTCTGAAGCTTCTGTGGCCAGGGTTTCAGGTCAGGTTCAATGTGCATAACTTCCCCAAATCCTTTCTCAGGGTATTTACATAACCACCCCTCCCTCAGTCCTATTTTTCTGGAGGGGAAACAAGACCAAACCTTGGAGTGAGGTGGTGAACAGTGAATTGTGGAATCCAAGTATCCTTCCTGTTTACCTGTTTACTCCACCTGCCAGGAACGAATATCTTGCTTCTCTCCTTCATAGAGAAAAAAGAGTGATCCTCCCACCCCCTGCCTCCACGGGGGTGGAAGAGGAGAGGGCATATCTCTAAACAGAGGCCCCAGAAGGATGAGAAGGCAGGCGGCCCACAGCCAGGGTGAAGAACCTCAAGCTCTCCTAAAGGCGGCTGGGCCTGGTGACTGCACCTATGGCTCCATCTCAGAAGGAAGAACAAAGCCAGGAGGTGAGGGGAGGAACCCCAAGGTTTTTCTAAGGTTCCTTGAGATGTCCTCAGACATGGTTACTCTCAAGGCTGTGTGGGAGGGCACCAGAAGCTCTCTCCTTAAAGGACTCTAATCTGTGACTCTCTAGAAGACGGTGCCACGGGCAGGCCTTGCCAGCCCTCCGCGTGTCTTCCCCTCATAGGACGCTTCACGGCTTTGGGCCCTTTTTGAGGACTGGGATGAAACACTTGCCCCTCTACCTTTCTGCCCATCCTATTTCCTCTGCCCTGTCTTTATTGACCCATTGTCTCGGTCAAGACTCCCCCTTCCTATCCTATAGTTCCACATTCCCCAGTCTCGGCCCAGAGATACCCACTCAACGAGGCCGGACTTTCCCCAGGGGGCTCGGGGATGCTCCTGCCCCACCCCTCGATCTAGCGCCCGCACAGCCCCGCCCCCTAGATCTCAGCCGCCCACTGGTACTTCCCTAGACTCGGCTCCCAGGAGCAGCACGAAAGCCTCTCTCAGCCGCATTTCCCGGAGGAGGCTCCCGCACGGCTGCCCCCCAGTCCCACCCCTGCATCTGCCCCCACTGTCGCATCCCCTGGCCTTGATCGACTCGCCCCCTTGCGCCTCTACAGCAGGTCTTGCCCCGGCCCTCCCCC